ATTCTTTTGATTAAAAAGATGCTACTAGATAAGCTGACTTAATATTAGAAAGATACACGTACCGCACTAGTATATGATAATACGTTTCATATCTGCAATAGCACGTAGAATTGGAAAATGTAAACATTATTGCAGTTTTCTCACAATTTACCGATTCTTGTAGCCATTCAATCTGACGTATTAGATAAGCACAATACTAAATGCAATTATATTTAGCCCTGAACATTTTACCGAATCTCTCAGCTATTACATTTGGAACTTAAATAGAAACAGTAGGAACCACGGCTCTATTCAGATATATTAAACATTTATAGAGCAATTTGCCCATAATACGTGAACTTTGATGGTGACTTTAATGTGAGTGAAGGATTTTTTTCTCATTAGTTGTTGAGATAATTTCTTGTCTTACAAATATTCCATATTTTAAAATATAAATTAAAAATGACTAAAAGTAAATCGAAATATCATTTAACTTTTTCAGTAATGCAGTATTTGATAAAACCATGTCCTTCATAGCAAGTACACGCGAATGTATTAGGTTGTGCAGTTTCCACCTTCATTACTGTCCTCACTAGACGAACAAAAACTTCCATGTTGCTAATGGTAACAGTTAGTTAGCAACTAGTACATAGGTTAGCCTGTAAGCCACACCAAGTCGTAGAAGAATCGATAAAATTCCTCTTGTCATCTTCCGTTAATGGTAGAAAACAGCAAGGAGACGGCATGGCGGGAATAATCGCGAGGCTACAACCGCTAAATCCGCTCTAAACAACCCATAAATTTGATAACTGTTTAGTTCAGATATCTATTTTACATTAATAACAATAACACATAATCTGTTTTTATACAGTTTGGATCAGTTATGTTGTATCTAATTCCAATTTCACCATCACAAGTAGAAATTTAGCGTCTATATTAACTTCTACTCACTGACATTATTACGAGCGACGTGATAGTTAATAAAGCTTCTTTCATTGCCATTTAAAACACTACTAAAAAGTTTTCTAACCAGTACATTGTTGACATAAAAATGTAGCTAAACACCAATTAGACATTTAACGTTATAACATCAAAGAAATCTTAACCTAACCTTGTATCACGTCTTCTTGGTCATGATTTACTTTTGTCAAAAATAATTAACCAGAATTGAGTCAAATCTATTATGACATGAACTATTTTGATAACTAATATCTGTATAAAAATAACGTATTTTGATATTTTCTAGGGTTTTTATCAAAATATTCTAACCTAATATAGAAATCATCAAATAAACTTTAGTTTTAATAAATGTCAAATAATTTTTCACTTTAAGGACAAATCTAAAAGTGGTATTCCAGCTATCTTTTCCCGTCTTATATGCAATGATTATGTGAGAAAAAATAGTGATTTCTGCTCTTTTAACTAAACTAAGAAACTGAACGAAAAAATTTTATTCTTTATGCCTTCATCATTAGAACGACTTTTTCCATTTTTATGTCTCGGTAATGAACATATTAATTCTGTCTAACGCATGGACATCCAACTAATTTTTGTCCCCTTTTCACTGTATTTTCTTAATTATTAGGACTAAATTTATATTCATAAAAATAACAGCTCAGTTAAATCTTTTATATATCTTTTTTTACATCTATTTCATTGTATTATTAAACTTATTTTTTTCATTCTCAGTTCGAAAAATCTCTCACTTGTTTCTTCATAATTGTCAAACTTGTTTACATATTTTGAAGTGTAGGACTCCAGTTAATATTTTCACACCTATTATTTATTAACACATTCTGCACTATAGATGATTATGCTTAACTCGTGTCTCTTTGAAATTATTACTGTTAATATATTATCAGTTAGAGAAGATAAAAAATGTCAAATCTTTTTCTTTATAATTATCAATGTTTAGAATACATTCACATCTAGAAAAACCCAGTTAATTATTCCATTCTTTATCATTAATAAGTTAATAAGGCATTAATAAATTCTCAACTAGAAAAGTTCACATAATTATTATTTTTCCTATGTATGTCTCCATAATATAAAAGTCACTAATATATTTTTATCTAAAGTAAGCTCTGTTAGGTATTTTCATTTTGTTTATAATTATGAAAGTTATATTAATGCATTATCAAGTACATAGAACAGTTGAATGATCAGATTGTTACACGAGCCGTAAGAATCTCTTATAATGGCGAACAGCACAAGAGATATCAAAGTACTTTATAATAACAAAGTGTACAAGAGGTGTCAGAGTATTATCCGAACCGTGAACGTATTTTATAACGGCGAACAGCACAAGATATATCAAAGTACTTTATAATAACGAAGTGTACACGAGCTGTGAGAGTATCTTATAACGACGAAGGATAATTAGAAAAATTGGTATAATCTACATCGAAAATATCGCGTGAAAAACGTTTATTTCTAAAATTATCAAAAATGGTGCTTCAGAACAATAGCAGCTCAATGTAAACTTTTGGTACATTAGTTATGCTATTAAAAGTGCTGGAGAAATCAACACATGTACGTGCTTCTGCAGGAACTGAATCACTCAACGTAATGGTTAATAGTAATGATATTTTACAAGGAGTGTTTTTACAGACGATCTGCATTATAATTTTTATCAAAGTAAAAGTTCTTGACAGCTTAGAAGTAAAATAAATGAGTCTAATTAAGATTCTTTAAAACTTGTACAAGATATATTGAACACGATAGCTGAGTTTGTAATGGATAGTGTTATTTCGCGTTAGTATTTCCTTATTGGTCTCTCAGTAGCAAGTAACTGAGTAAAAAACAGTACCCAGTCACATTACTATTTTCTTGCCGTATTTCCGACATCAAATAGTGCAGAAAACTATAGTACAGAGGCAGGGTAATGTATTTTTAATCATATTTGAAAGTTAAGTAGTAAAGTAAACTATAGTACACAATAACGTGAATATATTCGAACTGTTCTGTGAACGGGAAGTAACGGAGTCAACTACAGTTCCCAGTCACGTTAATGTATTCTTACTGTATTGAGAACGTCAAGTAACAGAGTAAACTGCAGTACCCACTCACGTTACTCTATTCTTACTGTTCAGTGAACGTTAAGTAACGGAGTAAACTGTAGTCCTCAGTAATAGTAATGTATTCTTACTATTCCCTTTGCGTTATGTAGCAGAGTAAACTACCATACACAGTCACGGTAATGTTTTCTTACGTGTTCTTTCAACGTTATATAACGGATTAGCTACTGTGCACAGTTACGATCATGTTTTCTTACTGTTCTGTTAACTTTATGTACTGGCGTAGATTACTGTTCTGTCAACGGCGTGTAAAGGAGTAGATTACTGTTCTGTCAACCACGTGTAAAGGAGTATATTACTGTTCTGTCAACGACGTGTAAAGGAGTAAATTACTGTTCTGTCAACGGCTTGTAAAGGAGTAAACTATAGTTGTCAGTTACGATAGTATTTTCTAGCTATTTTGACGACTTCAAATAACGGAGAAAGCTACAGCACCCAGTAACAATAATGTATACGTATTGTTATTTCAAGGTGTAATAACGGAATAACTTCAGTACACAAGTCACAGTAGTGTTTTCTACATCTTCTGTGAATGTTAAATATCGGGGTTAATAGTATATAGAATTTCATAGTCGCTTACATTTAACATTTCGTAAAATTGAAATTTGCTAAGTTTTCTATTATGTTGTTATTAGAAATAAAAGATACAAGATATATATATATATAACAAAAACAGTATTATAATAACTTAAGGATGACAACAATGAATGGTAATGGAATTTCAAATTTTAATCTCATTATAATGTTGTTTTTGTTTTGTATTAAGGTCATTATTGTTTTATAATGCTGATTTCAATCGCCTATAGTCAATTAATCAATTTCATAGTATTAGATACATTGATTTATAACGTGTAAGTAATTCTAGTTTTCAATATTATTCCGTCAACCCCGAATGTTTCAATATCAAATTAATGTTTAATCGTTATAATGCAGTTTTTAAAAGTCAATTTATAAAAGGTTCTTTTACGGATATGATAATGTAATGTTTTTTGTCTTGTTTTCACAATACAAATTTAATCTCGATATAACTCACATGACAATGAGAGATGAAGTCTGTACAAGAATATTTTGGCAGACAGTTCACGACGCATCTCTCTCTCTCTCTCATTCTCTATTTGTGTAGAACTAGCTTCATCGTCGGAAATAAGAGATTTTCCTGTAATTGTTATAGTTAATACCAAATACGACCACCTGAAAAAATATATGATGGAATTTCTGTATGATCAATTAATTTTCTATACTTTTAGTCATAAAATGTGACATTGTTAAATAGTTGTTATACTTTACGGCTCATGTTATACTTACTGTTCTAAGTCCAGTTGATGTAACGCTAGCTTATGACAGACGAAACTCTTGTTGTCGGATTCACGAAGAAAGAATTTTTCGTTTGTTTATCTGCACTCTAGGTTTAGAAAAATATTCCTGCAGCATTTCGATACATATAATCGGGTACGGATAAATGGATTTTGCCAAACGTGTGAAAAAATGTACCCTGTAACTGAAGATAATCTCTTCCCAGAAATAGACAAAAAAAAAAGGCTTTCGTAAGTGACCTGAGCAATGCGTGATTAAACAAATCTGACTGACAGACCACAATGTCAACATACTACATACATGTTTTTACAACCGATTCTCAGATATGACCTGTAATAAATTCAAAGCTTTAATATATCAATGGTGCTAGGATTGATAATAAACGGGAAAGGACGTGAGAACCAACAGCTGGTCCAAAGGTGTGTTTTTGTGTTTTCTTTTTTTCAATTTTGTTGTTAACGTTCGTGCAGCTAAACCGCATTGCACGAAAGCACCGAATGAGATATTTGTTTTAAGCTATATAATTACAAAAAAACTTTACACAAAAATATGATTATCTAAAAATACTATATATTATTATTATCTTGACGATACGTAAGCTATTTAAAAATATTATAAAACACAACAAACCTCAACTCCGTTCCACATATAAGGTACTTCATGAGCTGTGGAATGGGCAGGAACATTTACATGAGCATGATCGGTCATCATGGACATCCAGTGGGTAAGTCCTGATGAAGAAGAAACTGGACGCACGGGAGCAGCAGAACTGATAGTTGACTTGGCATGAGGGTCAGGTGTTGAGGATGGAGGCCACGCAAGTGAGGATTTCTGAAAGATCAAGAAATTACATAGTTACACAAGAAAAGTAGAATAATAAAAATACGAAATAAAACTAAAGAAGTAATACATACCAGAAAGGATAAATAACTAGAATAGTTAGAAGTGAATAATAATAAAATACAATGTTAGACAAGGAAGAATCAAAAACTACATAGACAAGAAAGGATAAAGGAATGGCAATGTTTGACAAAAAATACTAAAGAAATAGCATCTTCCCATAAAAGGATACAGAATTAGTTAGACAAGAAATACTATAGAAATAACATTCGTTAATAAGAAAGGCTGAATAAATACTTTTGATCACTTAAATATATGAGATTAGAGATCTAAATATATTAAACATTTAAATATATGAGATTAGAGATTTAAATATATTAAACATTTAAATATATGAGATTAGAGATTTAAATATATTAAAAATTT